TGGACCTCACAGCGGCTTTCGATACCATCGACCATGGTATCCTTCTGGATAGGCTAGTGGGATTGGGGGTCGGAGACACTGCTTTGCAGTGGTTCTGCTCCTATCTCAATGGCCGATTCCAGAAGGTGGTGCTGGGGGACTATGGCTCTGCGCCATGGCAGCTATGCCATGGAGTTCTGCAGGGGTCCATTTTGTCCCCCTTGCTATTTAACATCTACATGAAACCACTGGGAGAGGTCATTAGGAGATGTGGGCTGCGGAATCATCAGTATGCTGATGATACCCACCTCTACTTCTCTTTCTCAACCAATCCAGGTGAGGCAGTGGCTTTGCTGAACTGGTGCCTGGCCAAGGTAATGGGCTGGATGAGGGCCAATAACTGAAGCTCAATCCAGACAAGACGGAGGTCATGTTGGTAGGCGGTTCGGGCTTCGGGGTAGGGGACCTGGACCTTGTCCTGAATGGGGTGGCACTCCCTCTTAGGGACAGGGTTCGCAGTTTGGGAGTGCTCCTCGACCCAGAGCTGTTGTTAGAAGCTCAGGTGACAGCGGTGGCAAGGAGCGCTTTCCTTCAGCTTCAGCTGATCCATCAGCTGCATCCCTACCTGGAGGATGACTGCCTGGCAACAGTGACACATGCATTGGTAACTTCCCAATTAGACTTCTGTAACGTGCTCTACATGGGGCTGCCCTTGAAGACAGTCCAGATAATTCAGTTGGTGCAAAATAGAGCTGCCAGGTTGCTGACGGGGACTGGGCGTCGTTCTCATATAACCCCAGTCCTCTGTCAGCTTCACTGGCTCCCCATTGAAGTCCGGGCCCAATTCAAGGTGCTGGTTATTACCTATAAAGCCCTTAACGGCTTGGGACGTGGTTATCTAAAGGAGTGCTTGCGTCCATATCTGCCCTCCCGCCCCTTGAGATCGGCGGTAGAGACCCTTCTGGGAACCCTCCGTGAAAGATATTAGGAGGGTGAGTACCTGGAGGAGGGCCTTCTCTGCGGTGGCGCCCCACTTATGGAATGCGCTCCCCAGAGAGGTCCACCTGGCGCCGTCATTATTTGTTTTTTGGTGCCAGGCCAAGACCTTTTTATTTAAACATTATTTTAATTGTTGAATTTATTTATTGATTTTATATTTATGCCGGGATGTCTCCAGATTTTTAAGTATTTGTATAGTTATTTATTTGTATTGGAAGCCGCCCTGAGGCTTTTGTGAATGGGGCGGCATATAAGTGTTCCAAATAAATAAATAAATAAATAAATAAATAGTAAGTGTTTGTATTTTATTTTGACTATGTTCTATTTTCATTCTCTTAACTGTCCTATTTTTAATGTTTGGTATGTACAATACCCCAGAAGAAGAATTTTCCAAAACATGTTGGACATGATAATTTTTCTTTTCAGCATTTCGAGTGTCCTTCCTTCCTTGTTTTAAGATGAATTACTCCAAGAAAATTTAATTAGAATAAATGTTTTTTCCTCATGGAAAAATCCATTTTTTAAGAAAGTCAGTTCTTTATGAAGACAGCTCCTTTTCTCACATGTTTTCCTCTCTCTTCTTCTAAGTAAGATTTCCACAAGCCCTAGAAACTGGAGGACAGAACTTCACAATCTCCCCTTTATCCTGTCCGTCCTCAATATATCCCAACTCCATCTAGTAAGGACACTTTTCTTTTCTGCCCTGCAAGGCAGCCAGTGATATTATCAGGTACTTGATTAGACAGGTTTGACAGCTGTAATTGTTGCAGGTATCAGAAGAATGAAAGGGAAGAAATATAAAGACACTGGAGAAATCCTAGCTGTCAAGCCATTATTTTACCTTATCAGTTCCAAAGGAGCTTATGAGGGACATTTCCCAGCACTCAAGGGAGACCATTATGCAGGGAAGATGCACCAGCATTTCAGAAGTGTGACATTATGCACAATTGCTCCTGAAGACTCTTTTGTGTGTGCTCTTTAATGCAATACTAAGGGAGTGAACGCAAAGGGCAAGTATATGGAAGGGAAAATTCTCAGGATGTAAACCATGATTCACAAACAACATGGCACAAGGGAAGCAGGCAAAGATGCCTTTTCCAGTCCTTTGGCTCTCCCTGCCAAAGCAAAATGAAACAAATACATGGCCAAGAGAGATCTTGCAGTTTTTGTCAGCAGATATGGCTGCCTTGAGGATTCTGCAAAATAAAAACAAGCCCACCAGCAGCTTACCCAACACAAAGTATTTCAAGATCTGTTTAAGCATCTCCTTCTGGATCTCAGGGTGAGTGATGGAATTCAGCAGCTGACGTTTTTCTGGCTGTGAGAAAATTATGTTTCTTAGAGCTTCACGGTTGATCTCACCATTCTCCAACAGTATTTCAGGACCAAAGGACTGCACAATACGTTGGTATGCCAGGAAGCCAGGCTGGACCACTGAGGAAAGGAAAAGGATGTTTCCTTAAATTTTTGGTCAGGGGTAGTACTGAGAAACTTGGTCAGAGCCAAAATGACAATGGCAACCTACTGCAAATTGGCAGGTGTCTGCCTTTTAACGCACTTAGCCAAAACTCTGCAATTGATAAGAACAGCAGGTTCCACCTACAAACAAATGAGGGGAAAAGGAAGATAACCCATTGCTAAGGAAACAGAAAGCCAAGTTTCCCCTTGAAAATTAATTATTTCTTTCTGAGATTTACATCCCGTCTTTTTTCTCTTTACAAAGAAGTCAAATCGGCTTACATCATTCTCCTCCTCCCACTCCTATCTCCACAACAACCACCCTGTGAGGTAGGTTGGGATGAGAGTCAGTGAAAGTCACCCAGTTGGCTCGATGGCCAAGCAGGGGCTAAAACCCAGCATGAGTCCCAGTCCTGTGCCCTTAACCACTGCGCCACACTGACTCTTGTATAAGTGCTTGCATCTCCAGCACTGATCCTCAAACAAATCTATAAGAACACAAAAATTGTCCTACTTCATAAGACCAGTGGTAAATCTGGAGCAGCAATTTGCCATTTAGAAGTAGTTAGCCAGAGGCAACTGGAAGCATGAAAGCAAGGCAGTATGGCAATATTCATCCTCTTGAAGACCAGGTGTATTTAAGTAGCCAAAAGACAAGAGAGCACATTTCTTGCTAATGTGGATAGTAGCCCTGACAGATGTATTCCTCACAAATGTACAATAAAACAAAAATGACATAAACAGCCGTTTATGATAATGAACAAAACAATATTCTGTGACAGCAAATTCTCTGGAGTAACAGTGTAATACTATGCCCCCTCTAATATTGGCTGCCCCAAGTGATGACAAATGCTACCCTAAATACTACATATAATTGTATAGCTTTTGGATGGGGAAAATGGCTATAGAGAAATGGATATAAACGGAGAAATAACACCTTATAATTTGCATCTTAATGCTTAAAACACAGTCCACTGCAGTTAGGAAAGCAAATCCATCCACTGCTCCTTCTCTGCCCCCATGTATTCATGCTATCTCCTAACTCTGGAGGCCAAACCATGTGTAGTTAAACCTCCTTCAAGACATTTGAGAATGCTACTGTTAAATGAAATGATGGCAAGTGGAATGGAGCTGTATCCAGTCATCTCTTATTTGCAAATTCCATAGGAAGTATTACCTCTAACTGCTGAATTGCACCTGCTATTCATCTTCTGTTCATTCCTGTAACAAAAAGTATAGGATTGCTGCAGAAAGCTCACCTTGCCTGGCTAGAACATCAGCATCAATAATGGCACAGCCCAGTTCCCTCAGCATGGCTACTGCTGTGCTTTTTCCGGATGCGATGCCACCTGTCAGTCCCACTAGAAACATCCTGCCCTGGAAAACAAACAAAAAGCCAATTAATTAATTATGCAAAAGAGCTATTAAGTTTCAGTCAGTCAGTGAACTTTTAAAAGGAAAGCAGAGGTTGAAAATTTCCCCTCACATTTCCACTCCCCTGTCCTCATTCCTCCTGTCTTAAATTTAGAAGAAAATGACAGCCTTTTCACTTTAACATTTCCTGGTCAGTAGCAGTGCTAGTGAAATGCAAAGCCATATTCAGGTTTTAACCGATCAGACAGTGGAGTATGGGGCAGATAAGGCTTACTGTATGAGACTGCATAATTCTAGTCATGATTACATTGAAAAAGGGCCTACATTTCCCAGCAAGCCCCTTTTCTGCCTAAAAATGCATAGGATCAAGCCCTTCTATGAGCAGGCCGATGATCTGTACGGACCGTCTCACTGGCAACAGCCCTCCAGAG